AATATTTACATGATTTATTTACAACAATTTTTTTTAATAGGGTTATGGTTAGGGTCACAATGCACCATAAAACAGGAGTTTGAGGCACCTGATTTGTATCGACCAATGGCAGCGCTCACTAGAGCCCTATGTTCGTGATTATCCTAGAAAAAAATATCACGCCTGCGGGAAAGATGTGTTTGTTTACAGCAGCTGCTGTAGACCACAGGCACTTGGAGCGTTTCAATAAAATATAATGCTAAATAAATACGAAATCTATTTACTACCAAAGTAACCAGTACCTCGCTTCCCGCAGGGTGGTAAAAATCGAATCCTCGAAAGCTCCAATAGCGTATCCATCCGAGCTGAAGCATCCGGGCACTTTTAGAATGAATTGATTTGAAGTTTGGTTTGTAGTTAGCTGGTTAGGAAAGTGTAGCGCATAGATTGCAAGTCCTATGAATTGATTCGAAGTTTCCTGAATAGTTTTGCACACGGACCGGAAACAACAGAGTGGGCGGCAAATTGTAAACGTTAGTAACTGATTTCAGAGGACTTGAATAGATTGGAAGTTTGATAAATTGATTGTTAAATGAGCTCTTTGATTGTAAACGTTTACATATGTTTTGAAAGCTGTATGATTAATTTGTAATTTAAGCTATACATTTGTCGTTTGTTACCTAATAATTCTGAAACCAACAGATAGATTCGCATTTCTAGTGATTAATGTTGAAAGTAATAAATTAATTTCAAACTTAGTGAACTGATTCGTTATTCTGTAAATTAATTTAAAACTTATAATTTCAATTGTTAGGGTGATGAAGCAAGATTTGAACATTTGTGAGTTTATGTAACATGTTCTCAATTAAATTGCAAGTTAGTAAATTGGTTTGTTATTTTGAAAATATATTGTACGTTTAGAAAATGAATTTTTACTATGATGTAATTTGTACATCAGGCAATTATTTTGGAAAGTTGGGATTTAATTTGCAAGTTAATAAATTGATTTGTTATTCTGTGAATTGATTTAAAATTTTGAATTTAAATTTCTCGAACAATATAAAGTAATTTGTATTTTTATTAATTAATTTGAAATGTTTTAAATTGATTTAAAATTGTGTATTTGAAATGTTTGAAAATTATTTTTGAAGGGGATGGCTTTCCATAAAAAACGTACGGTTGCATCTTACGTGCCCGGTCGTACGAACAGTCCACATTGATGTGTTGCTGTGACACATGATTCAAATATGTAGTTTTTAGCAGCTAGAATACTAGGTTTATGGTGATTAGTAGCACAACGCAGCGGTAATCCGGGATTTGCTTTTTTAGTAACAAATTGGCAGATAAGTGTTTTGATGTTTGTTGCGGAGACTTATTCAAGCATTGCGAGTCATTTACCAGTAATTAGGCAGTTAATCTGCAGTGCGCGGACGATATCAAGGATTAGAGAGACCATAGCCGGTTAATGAACGGGTCCGGATGTGGGTGGGATAATAGGGGGTTATATATATATACACATATATATATATATAAACAAAGTCAAATTATAGAATAGCGGTGGTTAAAATTTAATTAACAAGCTTTCGAGATTACATTCTCTTCATCAGGTGAGCAGACATTGGAATAGAACCGTAATAAAAATACAATGCCTTATAGATATAATCGAAAAGCCTACCAGCTATAGAGAAATCCCTGTCAAGCGCATAACCCACCATTCTATCATTTTTAGTCAGTCTCCATGTTGTGTGGCCTGTAAGTGTAATTTGTGATTGATGTGGCCTGCACGTGTAATATATGATTACTTTGTGGTGTTTAACAATGCTGAATATCTATGTCAGGGACGTAGCCAGCTAAAAAAAAGTGTGTGTGTGGGGGTTCTTTTGATAATAGCACTGGAACTTTATGCTATCGAAACAAATAGAAATGGCGGCAAAGCCGTTAAGTTTGAAGCTCCAAAGGGGGATCTGGGGGTCCTCCCCCGTAAAATTTTATAAAATATGTCTCTAGGTGCGATTTCCCAGCACTTTGAAATCGTATTTTTAGACATGAACTAATGGTTTTTGAGTAACTTTTCGCCACATAAATGACTTCTGGACCCAATTTCACAAGAAAAATATGTTTAAATCCTTAAATCTCAATTTAACTGGCATTGATTTGTATAAAAGTTTAAATTAAGAATTCAAACTAATTTAGTGACTGTCACTTGGACCCGGTTACATTTTTTGTCGTATTACAATAGTATTTCAATCTTATTGTAGCATAATTTATATTATGTACACATGGAGGTTCACTAGCTATTTTTAGTTTCCAGGAACTAGTTTTCATTGTGATTAATCATGTGGTTTATCATGTGTGTTTCATGAACATTTATAATAAGATATTTAATTATTATTATTATTATTATTATTATTATTATCATTAGTGTTGTTGACGGGGTAACGTTGAGCGAAATGTCACGTAATGGCAGAATGCATCTTCGTTTAAGCTGGGCAGTATTAGGCTACTCTGTTTTTGTGTGTTACTCTGTATGAATTGAAAATTTAGAGAAATGTTCAGTTTAGCATTCACTTTTAAGGACACGGGATAGTGGAGATATCACCACTGCGATGGCTCAATGGTTGAGTGCTCGCCTCGTATGTGGAAGGTCGGGTGGGCCGGCCGGCCGGGTCATACCAAAGACTTGAAAAATGGTACACACGGCTTCTCTGCTTAGCATTCAGCAAATAGAGATAGAGTGTGTCAAGTTAACTCGCAGTGCTACCAGTGGACTAACCCCCTACTGTAGCATTTACTGTGAAAGCAGCTGCGGGGCTGATAGGCACCGCCCTATGCGCCATGTAACCATGCGCTATGCGTATGAAGGCGCGGGAAGGATTTCATTTTTCTATATTGGAGAAGATTTGAAAGAATTGTTATTCATCAGTGCGTTAGGGCGGTTGATGAAGAAAATTTGAATTATTTCGAGTGAAGAAAGCCATGCAGGGGATGCGGTGATCTGGTGATTCTATCGATATGTAGGAGTTTCAATTAGGAAAAACTGTCATTGCCGCTTCCTGCATGCAGGTATATTTACGGGATAAGATCTGTTATTTCGTTTCTCGTCATCGATGAGGCCAAATTGAGAGATATATTATATGTATCAAGAGCTCATAATACATTACGTAATTATACCTACATTATAGGTATTTACGGGCTGAGATCTGATACTTTGTTTCTCGTCACCAATGAGGTCAAATTGAGAGATTATCGTTATATATATATATATATATCAAGCAGCTTATAATAACATTATATTCTCGAGCATCTGTACGTCAAGTTGGCCTTTACTAGTTTCTATTATGTTTTACGTTATATGTTAAAATATAGTGTGTGTGTGTGTGTGTGCTGTGTGTGTGTGTTGTGTGTGTGTGTTTGTGCTGTGTGGCTGTGCGTGTGCGTGTGCGTGTGCGTGTGCGTGTGCGTGTGCGTGTGCGTGTGCGTGTGGTGTGCGTGTGCGTGTGCTTGCGTGCGTGATATATATTATATATATATATATATATATGTGTGTGTGTGTAGTGTGTGTGTGTGTGTGTGTGTGTGTGTGTGTGCGTGTGTGTGTGTGCTGTGTGTGTCTGTGTGTGTGTGTGTGATTTCGGTTAATAGATGTACATGGCATTTGAGGTACCTATAGCTGCCCTGATGTCCGTCACTTGTCTCTTGTTAAGCTAGATGGCACTTTTAATCGGAAACTGTTTTTTTATTTGATGTGAGGAGCTTTTATTGGTAACTCATATTGATATCACAGGCACTTGAAACGTTTCAATAATAGAATGAAAGTACATAAGCACGAAATATATTTACTACCAAAGTCTAAATGTTTATTTACTCTCTCTTCGCCTACTATTATAGTTGATATTTCCCTGTAAATGCCGTTCAAATGCTTCTCTGCAACACACAAGTATACATCGCACTGACGCCGCTATTGTAGCAAGCGTTTCTTAACGCTACCCAATGCTAGAAAGGTTTTTGATGTCACACATTGCACCGTCGGTCAATGACCGTAGACAGTAATGTCGAAAGCGTCGTTTAATAATATAGATGACTTTATTCTAATATATATATATATATATATATATTATATATATATATATATATATATATATATATATATATATATATGTTACGACATACATAAGCACAACACTACGTAAGTGCCTGCTCTTTCCCTTCTCCTACATCACTTCCCCTTCACTCTTCCTTTCCTCCCATATCCTACATCTATCTTCCATCATCTCTCCCCCTTCGTCTCTCCCCTTACATTTTCCCTTGGCCTCTCACGCCTCTACCTTATATATATCTCGGGCGTGGGTTTTCGGTGGACACGTGTTCTCCCTCACGGGCCGGTCCTCTCGCCTATCTGTCCTATTGGTTGGTTTCGGACATTGATCGGTCAAGTGATCATGGTGACTCTTGCGTCATTATGGAACGTTTCCAAACCCATCCTCCTCCCCACTGGCTGGCTGCCAAGACTCCTGATTGCATGAACTATGCATGCGTTTCACTATCTCTTGGAGTTGCTACTGGCTAATTATGTTGGCCACGTCTCTTATGAATGCTCTCTAGCACTAATGCTAATGACTCCAACGGTCCTCTAAAGCTAATAACACTGTATGTATTCTGAAAGGTTACCAATACCAGTTGGCTTCTAGTGTCAATCATTCTAAGTGCATTCGGACTCTCTTCGAAGAGGTTCTGATCCAAGCGTCCAAAATTAACTTTCACTCGCATGAATTTGCATCGCTACACTATGCACAAACAACAAAATTATCGGGCAAAAAACAACGGATGTGCAACGCCAATGCAATGCTAACTGTGCACGCAAATGCTGTGCAAAACAATAAAACACTATCATTTTTGTGCAATGGAATTGTGTGCAGAAGAGCGTTTGACCGGCATTTTTAGAAAATTATCAATAATAATAGGCAAACGAGAGTAGACAAACATTAAGACTTCGGTGGTAAAGGCATTTAATGTTTACTTACCATCATTTCATTATTGAAATGTTCAAAGTGCATGTGGTTGGTATATCTGTTGCCAGGTCCAATGCAATGCACTCTCTTTAAAGGGATATAACACTCTGAAATTTTAGGTTATATGATGATAGTAAGTGCAGAGATAGTAGTATATACCTACACATTTTATAATCATGCATTCAAATGTGTCCATGTTTTAACTGAAACTATGAGTTGTTGTTTTAAGATATTGCAATATTCCCCCTCTTAAATTAATATATAAGAAACACCCTCGTAGCCTGCAGCCAAAAACTTGCGATGCGCAACTTTGAAAGTAGGTGGGCTAGTAGTGGCGCCACCGTCGTTGTAAGTAAGGATATAGCCGTCAGTTTCATCTATATCTTACGAGGCCTGTCTAGGGCGATTCGACTCTAAACGTACAGCCTATGTTGCTCTACACAAGCAAAACTTTGCTCAGACATGTCATACATACCATTAGTGATTAATTGGTTTTGTACATCTGTTCCGCTGTATACTGTAGAATGTATTCGCAGAACCTAAAGGCTAGTCTCTTTCCTGAGTATATGCAACTGTACTTACGTAGGCAAGCCGCTTCCAGAAGGTGAGTTACAGCAAGAGTCTGGCCAAATAATTCATATCGCCGTGCCCCGTTACCGACCACCAACGCCATCGCTGGTCCTGTTATTTAACAGACAACATTCATCTTTATCTTGCGTTAAGTCATCCTGATAAAGATTTCCCAAAGGGAGATCGAAAATTTCGGTAGTAAGTTCATTTCTTGGATTTAACACAAGATAAATATAAATTTATAGTTTTCAACGAAATTCAATGAACTTCTTTCATTCAAGACAACATTCATTTGAACTTATCTCTTGAGTTGTGTTATTCTATATTATATATATATATATATATATATATGCAATGAGCGTACGCATGTCGCATGTGCGCATAGTTTTATATAGTCCGAGCCGACGCAGACCCCAGTAATGGGATAAACCCGCACCCTCAGATTAGCAAAGTGGAGTTATAACGTCTGCATTTGCGGATAAAGTTTTATACTGCTAGCTTAACATCTATAGTGCATGCGCACGAACACATAGTGACGCACGTTGATGTGTTCAAGTATATAGCCGCATATATACACCGTTTGGGCATTTTGCTGGGAAGTGCTCGACGTTTTTTTTCTCACCGATCAATGAAGTACAATTAAGGCTCTACGTATTCACACTGCCTATTATCCTACCGCACGCACACACACACACACACACACACACACACACACACACACAACAACACACACACACACACACACACACACACACACACACAACACACACACACACACTCACAAACCACACAGCAGCACACGAGAGCACCGACACACAGCCACAGCACCAGACACAGATCAGGGCACACACTCTACACACCACGACACAGTCGACACACAGCCACACACTGCACGGAACACACCACACACACACACATACACACACACACACATACACACACGAACACACACACAGCACAGCACGACACACACACAAAACAGCACCACACGACACACGACACACAACACACACACACAGATGATCCGTGTTATGTGTACGTGCGTAGTGTATGTGTGTGTGTGTGGTGAGTGTTGGTGTGTGTGTGTTTGTGTGTGTGTGTATTATGTGTGTGACTTTGTGTGTGTGTGTTGTGTGTGTGTTGGTGTGTGTGTGTGGTGTGTGAGTAGTGTTATGTGTGTGTGTGTGTGCTGTGTGTGTCGCTGTGGTGTGTTGTGTGCTTGTGTGTCGTGTGTGGACTCGGAAATTAAAATACATTTCAAGACATTGAGGTGCACATACACGACAGGCGTAGTGATCATACCCGTATGAATCGCACCAGCCAGCCTTATGCTCCCTTGGATTATCGGAGCAGAAATATTCCCGGTGGCTCTAAATATGTCGACGACCAATTCGGCTACTTCTTTGGCATGCTTATCGCAATTCCGTGTAGGGCATCCTGAGACAACAGCGTATTTCCCACCTAGAATTCACGACATCAGCATGTATATAACCGCAGTCTTCTCATAACATAACCAAAAGTAGTTGGTTATTGCTCGATTACAAGTTTGTCTTGACAGCGTGAGCAAAGGGAAGGCAAAAATAGCTTGAATGTATAACGATTAAATCTAGGTGCGCAATAAATAGAGAATTATTTTAATGAGTCGCATCATCTTGCGATTTTTGGAAAATCCGGCATAGTGACACATGATCGTGTAATTCTAGGTTCCATCTCGCCGTATCTTTATTTGGTCGACATGTGTTTTAAAAATGTATAGACATGAAATGAAAAAGCGCTAACATGAAATAACAAGCGCCTAAATGTTGTACATACATATTCTGTTAATATAGTTCACATTATGCCTTTCGTTGAAAACGACTTTTGTCTGATGACAACACATTGTCACTTGCGTGGTCGACTGCAAAACGGGATTTCTACATACGGAATTATAAAAACGATATACATATATATAATTATATATATATATATATATATATATATATTACGAATCAACTTCGGTTTCCATGGCGTTTTACGTACCAACGCTATTAAAACAGTACACATCGTACTTCCGGATTGTTTTCTCTATCTCATTGTAAACCTTGTTAATCAGTTCCACGGCATCGTAGGGCGTGAGTCGTACATAGCTTTCCTCAAAGCTACAGATGTGTAACACAAGGAAGGTGACGTCATTGAAGATATCAGGCTGCGTCGTGTGACTATAACACAAATATTACACAAAATCTCAAAATTCAAACTTAAAGGAAAATGCATGTATGCATGTATGCATGTATGCATGTATGCATGTATGCATGTAT